TAACATCCAAGTCAACCCTACCAAATCTATATTTATTACTAAGAAGCCCTCTTCCAATCTTTCATTTCTTAACTCCAACCTGCAATCTATCCCACCCCATCAACCTTTTAAATTTCTGAGATGTTGGTTCACTCTCAACAACAAACAGTCCTCACAAATTAAGTTAATTTAAGATAAAGCCATCCAGTTAGCCAATATCACTGGCACAAAAAATATAACAGACAAACAAATTACTTACATTATCAATACTGTTATTATCTCTACTACTGAATACTGGCTTCATAATATTGTAATTCCTCTTTACAAATGCAACCAAATCCTGGACAAATATCCAAACACAAAGCACACCTTTTTTGCTTCACTCCTAATAGCACACTTCTCAATCATAATCTTTACAATATTTACAATATTTGGGATATACAATTACAACACCATATTAGTAACTTTTTTAATCGAATTAACAACTCTTTTACTCTTGGTACTACAACATATATTCGACTCCAACAACTCCAAATAATCACTGGTCCACAACTAATATTCTTCAACACCCTCACCCTATTATTGATGGCCCTAACAAACACACTACTACTTTAAAAATCATACAACTCTTTAACTACTTACAGATTTCTATACACGCATTCTCGGATTTTTCCTGTTTTGAAAATTATAAATGATAGTTATACTCCACTTGAAAATATTCTTTTTAATCATTCCAAATATAATACTTTCAAACAACAACTTAGATACAAAAATATCTTATATTTGGAACAACTCTGCTAAGCAGACAACAAGACCTTATTAGACTGAATACACTTATCCCCAAGAATTCTACATATTCCTAAGGGCAAAAAACCACTCTGGTTTAACTACTTACACAGGTCGAAAGATGAAAAATCAAACACAAATCAGGTACCCGATTTTAAACTGATTACTACCTGATTACCACCTGATTTACATATATTTTTGTACCAAAAATTTGGTACAAAAATATGCATAAATCAGGTGGTAATCAGGTAGTAATCAGTTTAAAATCGGGTACCTGATTTGTGTCTGATTTTTCATCTTTCGACCTGTGTTAGAAGATATTACTCTTGAAAATAACCTATCTTGCACTATTCTACCTCACTTTTAGCCCAAAGGCCTTAATTCTTTTGTATACCAAACTAACCTTATTCTTAAAACTCACAAATCTTGGGTTTTAACCTATTACAATGAGCATATTGTAATAGGCCAAGTTTGCAGGACCTTTATACAAACAAATACTATTTCTATAACACACTGGCAACATAATATTGACATCTCTATTTCTAACCACTACCCACTACCTTCTATTTCTTGTACACACTGTCAAGGCTGTAGCCTTAACTCCAAACGTATTTCTAGCTGTTGTACTCTAGAAGTTTCAGCTATTCTTTCCACCCAGTTCCTGTGTAGAAAAAAAGCCAACAAACAACTCAATTTTAATGCAAATTATATTGACCTTATCTATTCTACCAATATCAAACACTCCTAGAAATACCACCACCACCCTCCATTAATATTATTGACTTTCCTATATCTAGTATTTTTCACAACAATGAAGCCTCTCTTCAGCTCACCCAGATTGCACTAGCTAACTCATCTCAAAACCAATTTATCTTCTACACAGATAGATCTGTTAAACAACTTGGTACCGACCAATGCTCTATAGGTATCGGCTGGGTTCAAATTCACAACAATTCAGTGATACAAAATTTTTCTGCTTAAATTTCTAATTGGCCCTCCTCATACAAAGCTAAACTATTAGCAATATTGTCTGTTATTTTCACTATTCCATGCAACTCCAGCCTACAAATCTACACTGACTCATAGTCAATTATATCTAAGTACAACAAACTTCTTATCTTGTCTTCTCACTCTACAAAATATTTTAACTCTTGGCCAATTTGGTACACACTTCTCAACATCCTCAAAGCCTTTAATATCCAACTTTCTCTCTTCAAAGTCCAAGCTTATTCTGATGACACTTTCAATAATCTTGCAGATTTACTTGCCAACAATCATTCTACTTCCCCATTGTTATCTTTTAACTATAACAATCTCTATAATCCTTACTCTATCTTATTCTGGAAAAACAATTTTATTGACAGCCCTTCGAGACAACTTATTAAAAATATATGCAATAGCTCTCTGGTTCTTACAAAATTGTGCCCAAGAATAGTTACACTTTTCCTACCAAATTGACTGGAATGCCTCTTGGCTATACTTCAATAATAATTAAAAAACTTTATACAACTTCACTAGTCTCAAATTAAACCACCTCAAATCCTTTAAAATCAAAATGTTACTTAATATACTACCTACATATGCACACCTCCATAATATTTACCCTCATATATTTATATCTCCTAACTGCTTTTCTTGCAATAACCTAGACTCTCCTTCACACTGGTATACTTGCCCTAACTATGATCTTTTAACCCAAACTATTGACTCCTCTATATGTGATATTATTACCAACACCAATCCTAACCTTTCTTCTTACCAACTAAACAACCTTACACATACTATTTCGTTGCACCCTGCTTTTAACCTTCTACCATCTCAACTATATTCTTTTTCACTTAACTCTACACTCAAAGGTCTTATACCTATATCTCTAATCCAATCTCTAGACCCATTTAAAATCTCATACTTTAACTTCTCCCAACTTATTATTTGGATACTTCTCAAAATTTCTAATCAACTCTACAACAATATCTGGATCCCATATTGTACCAATTTCTCTAATTGGAAAAAATCTTGTCAAATTTCTTCCTATCTTAACTTTAATAATTTACCTCAATCTTCTTTACAACCAACCAATAGAAGAAATAAAATCTACTATACTTATAGTTGCTCTTGTGGCTCTGCTGACCAATTACACTCAGAATCTAATACTTGTCCTCCTATAGGACAAGCTACCCTTAAAATTAATATTTGGTTTGCTATGTGGATTAAATATAGTATATATCTTAACAATTCAAATCTAGGTGAGTTTTGATCACTCTAGTAGGTTTAGGTCGCAGATAATTAGTTTAGCTTTTAGGTTAAGCTTCTAGTCTAAGCTTTTATTCTTGAATATAATTTATATTTATTTGTTTTTTATACAAATTAAGTTTTTATATAGTTGATATGTAATTACTTATATAAATTAATCAATAAAAATATAAGCAAGATTTTACCTTAAAAAAAAAAATAATAGTATATGTTTATTTTATATAAATCTCATATTTTTGAAATATTTCGAATAAATTTGATATAATCAATTAAATTAAATTTAATAAAATTTTTATCTTGTAATATTTAATTTGGTTTGCTAATTTTGATATTCAAAAAATTTTGATATATTTCGAAATAATTGTAATATTACGTAAGAGTCATAATTTTTAATATATTTTGAAATCTTTTCGAGTTTATTCAAATTAAACTATTTTATTTAATTAATTTTTTTATTTTTTAAATTACTGCGATTATTTCTGCTAACTTTCGAAATTATTCAAATTATTTCGAAATATATTTCAAAATATTTCAATATTAGTTTTATAATATTTCAAAATAAATTCCGTATTATTTCATAATTGAAAATTCCAAAATATTCTGTATTGTTCGTAATTATTCTGAAATATTTTGGGCCATAATAAATTTTGTAAGTTTTCATTTATATATTTTGCTAATGATGTTAAAGACATTTCACTTTTAAAACCAAATTTTATAAGTTTTGTTAGCCTTACATACTTCCAAAATTACTGTAATATAATAGTCAATACCCTTTATAATGGTAACTTTTTATAATGAATGAACTAAAAATTTTAAAAATTATTATTTTGGTTTTGCCTTCAGATGAAATACATGGTGGAAGCTTTCATCATATATATATATATTGAAACAAAGAGATCATTGTGGCTGGGTAATGCACCATCATCCTGGCACGCATTTAAGAATTGCCTGACAATGATGTCATTTCTGATCAATTATCTCGCTAAAGTTGTTCTCAAACAATGATTTATAGAATGGTCTAATTGGTCAAAAAAACAAATCATGACATTTAAGTGTCATGGAGTTACCTAAACTACCGTGTATCCATAGGTCTTTACTATCAATATTCACTCACTTGGCTAATATACGATGACTGGAGTATCATACCAGATACTACCACCAATAATGTATTCACAAAGATAAAACAGTTTATTTACTAAGAATAATTCAATGAAATATCGGGAACCAAGTTCTGGTATCTCCTCTTTAGGATTGATATCTTAATATATTTAATTACTAATACATACTTGCGTCACTGATCTATTACAGACTTTCTCATTGCTCATGCATCAACATTTTAGACTTTTAATTAAATCGTGAACACCCAATATGGATTACACATTAATTAGATCACGACGTTCAATCACACGTATGTACCCAATCACTAGTCACATGGTATTGCGCAGCACCACAACATTAAGTCAAAATAAAATCTAGACTTACAAGCCCTTTTTTTATAGTCAGTACATATACTAAATTAAACATAATACAGTACAGCATTTTAACAAAGTAGATAGATATTTCTGCATTACGGCATTACGTCTTTATGGCATTACGGCATTACAGCTTTACAGCATTATGGCTCACAGCAATTACGGCAAAAAATATGGCATGTGCCATAACCGTATTAATTTGTAAAATTAATTCTACCACCAACTATACTTTGAACCATTTAGCAGATAATGAAATCTCATCTGCTGTTTTAACAAACAATTTATAATCTACTGCAAATTCAGATTCATCGCCCTCACTGCTCATTTCACTTTCATTACTTGCTGCAGCGGATGTTGCTGGGGAAGGTGACCTAGTTTTTTTCTATAAGCAAAAGCAACATTAATAAATATAATAATGGTAACAAAAAGATTACATTATACATACATTGTTATCAAATTTGTTTTTTGTTGTTGTATTAGTCTTTTTTTTAACCTTTTTTGAATTCAATTTCACCAAAACATTGTGGCATCGTCCACAAAGAGAAAATTGAAAAGATTTTTCAAATTTATTTGGTAATTATATTCCATAACTTTTCCATGGATATATTCAAACATGGGCGCTACCCAAGTAGGTTCATAAACACGTGTATACGCTTGTTTTACTGAATCAGTTCTATTGTTTTTTGTGGGTACTAGAGATAATTTACATTTACAAGTAGTAGTTTGCAAATCAGCTGCGCAGTAAAACACTTTCGGCACCCAAAACAGGT